TGCACTAAATATAGCTGGTGAGCGTTTGTTAATGAAGTTCTCCGCAGTGAAATCCCAAGTACTTGGGTACAGATGCCGCATCCCAGAAGGCTCCATTATACTTGCCGGAAACGTGATCCCAACGTCGGATTCAGTTCGGGACTTAGGAATTAGGTACTCCAACACTCTCAATTTCTCCGAACATGTTCTTAATCAGATTGCGAAAGCAAGGCAGCTATGCGGATATATCACCAGAACTTTCTCCCTACCTGAAGTACGACTTGAATCATTCAAGACAATCGTACGACCGACTCTGGAATATTGTACTATCGTTCACAGCCAATTGAGAAAGAAAGACAGAACGGCTCTAGAAAATGTTCAACGATCATTTACCAAGCTGCTCATGGGGCGCTGCTCAAACCTGACATTTTATGATCACTGTCGAAAACTCCAGCTGGATCCACTTTGGCTGAGACGCTTAAAGAACAACCTCGTTCTCTTCTACAATATAATAAACCAACGAATTTATGCAGACAGCACCGCACTTGAAATACAGAAAATTGCAGTCTACCCCACACGTAATGGCGGCTGCTTGATACATACAAACCTTTCAAGTCATAAAATTCGGTCGAATTTCTTCTTAGTGAGATACACTTATCTGTGGAACAAACTACCCCTACAGATACGCATGTGTATAAGCCATGCCACTTTTCGAAATCTCCTTCAGACCTTCCTCACTATACCAAATGCTCTGAAGATATTTGACTCATAGCAAACACTAGAAACATTGACAGAAGTTGGTATAAAAAACATTTGATAATAGCTTACAGCTAGCTTACCCACTACTTGTCATTACATACCATACCAAATCCTGTGTCTTTGCAGCCTAATAGTCCCTTCCTTTATTATCTACTCCTGACGATACAAACATCCGTAAATTTTACATATGAGTTGCGCGGGTCTAGGACTCAACGAAAAGTAATCATGATCCGAAATGCTATCAATAAACTTTCCTTTAATGTTATGAAACGTGATCACTATACAAACGATCGCTCCCACTTATGGGGCCGTGTACCGTCCGTCGGTAAATATACAAATTTGGTTATTTGGTTATTTATTTGTTTATAATCATACCAGTGAATACGTGTATCGCAATGTCGAGAATAATTCGTGTATTTATTTCTTTATTTAACTACCCACTGTCGTCACTCTTAGAGGACACTTACCCCGAAAGAGGTGCTGACGACCGGTCCTGCTAAATGTTCTCCATCGCAACACACACGATTACTATGTACAAACAGTACTGCCCATGCATCGGATTCTTAAGGATTCGAACACATGACCACCTGCGGCTTGCACCAACAGTCAGCAGCTTATGCCACTAGGCCACAGGCGACAGTGTCGGACCGTCATGTTTTCGAATCTTGAAGGATCCGATGGATGTGCACTAGTGATGAAACCCAACAGGTTGCAACTGCAGCCCAGTGCTTTTCCGGTCATGTGGACGGCTATCTGCACTGAAACCTGCTGTGACGAACTCTCCGTTAATAATATCAAAATCCCCTACTCACGATCAACTCAATATATACAAACAGTTGTTTGACCGCCAAGTTTGGTAACTTCTCGCTGCTTCTGAACCACCGAACTGGACGTGAGTCTCCACCGCAACGATAAGTAACCGCGGTTGAGGATTCACCGTCAGATGGGGCAACCGTACCTTTTCTAACGACTTCTACCCAATAAAAGTTGGTTAGCATCAATGATCCTATGCTCAGCTGGACGCAATGATAGACAGCCCCTACGCCTCAGATTCCCACAACCTCAAAAATAATTACTGTTGGAAAATTACTCACTAGTCCCCAGTTTACTGAGGCCCCCGTTCTGGAGTTCCGATGATACATTTACATCACGTTCATTTTGAGGCAATGCCAATGTTGGGGTTACACTATGCACACCCAAGTAAATCTGAGTTAAACGACTCTTCTTCGGTTACTAGTTGATTCTGTGCAGATTGGTTGGAATTATCAATGGGTCATAAAGCACACTTAGCCCCCAGACGACTCTCATTCGTTGTTACTTCTTATGGTCGGTGCATCAGGCCGTAAAAATTATGAGTGATTACCACCGTCAGGACAACAGCCTCCGTAAGAGACTTCACATGAGTATCGGGGCGCTTACCGGAAGCGTGAACGTTGCTTCGTACTCCAACAGAACATAGTCGGATAACCTAGCTAGGTATCTTCATTATGCTCTGTATCTCTTTTCCGTAGACAGTACCTACTTCCGTATATCGAAAGCGATACTAATAACATCAGAACGCCGCCGATCGATCTCGATCAACTGGTTACTCCTCGGTACAGACTGCTTGCGTCGTTAGTTGTTGCCGTTGATGACTGTATAGATTATTTCAAAGCTATAGTTATAGGTCTGAAAGGCCCGTGAGGAAAGCCGTTCAAAGCTTATATCTTGCGCTAAGGGTAGTTGACAAGATCAATCCTACGATATTTCTTCAACTATTTTACGTTAATGTACCGTTCCAGTTGGAAAACGTCCTCCAGATCTGGTAGCTTTAACAAAGGCATGATGCTTAAAGTCTACTTAGATGTAAAACTCTAGGTGATAACAGCGCACAGTATCATCTTTTGTGGAGTGAGCTTGTAGTCGTGCATCGGATCCTCAATGACACCCAATTATTTGATCAATATCACATCAGCTCCTTGAGACGCAGCCAGTCAAAGTCGGTCGCACAGTAAAATCGGGTGGAATTCAACAGAAGCGTTTTCCTGTTGTATGTGTGCAAGTCGTGAAACATTTTTTCAACTAACTTTTTTTCCGCTCCTACGCTGCAGGACCCTCGGATGATTTTGACAAAGTCACCGGGCGACATCATTTGGCTAACCAATCTACGTGCTCAGGTGAACCTTGCATGCTGTCCATTGATATGTGCTAGCTTTTCGACACATTTGGTTTGGCTTTTGCACTTTTAACCCAGGAGTCCTTTGTACATTTGTACCCCCGCATAATGTTCGTTGTACCATTGATTCCGTTGTCCAGCGACCAGCTAAGGAGATGACGTGAACACGTCAAACTTTTCAGGGTGGATACAATGAATTGCTTGAGCTGTATTAAAACAGAGCGGTTGCCACTAAAGTGAATCACCTCGAGGTCGGAGGCATATAAATATGGACTTGAGGGGAAGGAAATTAAACTGATGTTAGCTTTTGTGTTGTCCGATTGTGACGGACATTCTACTCCTGGTTGCCACCGCAATTTCTCAAAAGTGTGATGGTTATAATCCGCTATTAACAAAGGATTGGCAATGTAAAAGTCCTCCACTGAAGCCAAGACACTCAGAGGATAATGATTGTTGGAAAACATGTATGGTAGGCATAATATGACTTGACGCGCTTGCCGAAAAGAGACAACCACGATGGCAATCATGGTAAGAATGTGAAACATTACTGAGGAACCAGCAGTTCAAAGATCACTCAACGTCATAGTTCAGTCTGCTTTTTGTCTATAGTAGTGAAGTAAAGATAATACACATACAACTCATAATCATCATTAACTGTTTGCTCCTATGGTTAGGAGCCTGCTAGCTCCACAGCATGTCAAATGCATATAGTTTAGTAAATTTTTCCGTTATCCTGCGCATTAGAAAACAATTTCGCCTAGCGCTAAAACTTTCAATTTTATTTTAAGCTCCACTAGGTGTTTAAATTTGTTTTGGTTGTGGTGATTTAAGCTGGGGCGACTTTATGGTTTTATGATGTATTTTTTTGACCTACTATATTATGCTTATGTAATTGCGATTGCACCGTCTGCCAATAAATTATTCACCCCCCTTTGCCTTTGACTGTGCTCACTACATTGTGATAGCTCGAAGCTCGATGATAACACGCGCCCTTCATCCAAACTAAGCGCATTCAATGTAGAAGGATTTCCGGCTTTCAACAACGGCCTTGTAAGTGAGCCCAGTCCTTTAGTTCGCGGTGGGTTACACGCTCGTTCGTCAGAGCTTGCAGTTATTAAACAAAAATCACGATAATATTTATCACGCAACGCGTGTACCTTGGATTTCAAAGGGGAGTGTTATGCGTTTAACACATGTTACTTACCGCTCCCTTCTAGCGATGGGTTTCACCGCCAATAACCCTGCTTGTTGCGTTGAGGTAAAGCTTGGTTATCCCAACCACTGGGACAGGATCCGTCACGGAGAACCGTAATGTTGATTTTTCTAATTATCCACTCCACTAGCAGCCTCCTCATAGTCTGAATGCTCCAGATCGAGTTGACAGCTACCTACTCCAAAGCAAATCACGGCCCAACTTGCGATTACTTAGCATAATTCAAAAAATTGAACGATCCTACTGAGACGCTGAATGCAACTTCGGTACTGCTTGGTATCAAATCATTCATTGCTCTTAGTTGGCGTTTTCTTATGCAAAAGAGTTGATAAGATGTAATACTCTTATGTCCAAAAGCTAGTGACAATCCTCAGCTCAAATTGTAGTGTTTAACTAGTTCTGAAGGATTGGCTTCTCGTTAATCATAACTGTTTAATAAGGTCACCCAGCGCATCTGCACCAAGGCGTACATTGTCGAGGAGGCGAAAACCTAATGCTCAGACTTCACTCTGTCCCGGAACCAACTATGCAACTCTACGGAGTCACGGTGGCTTTCCGCCGAGCTTCAGAATATCTCGTAAGTGAGCAGGGTTGGAGTCAGTCACCTCTTTCGGTTATTTCAAGGACACATGGTGAGGATCTATGAATGTTGACAATGATGACTTTGACTATGGTTATGAGTCACACAGTAACCGTGACTGGTGACAGCATTTGATCAACGAAATAGTTCAATCTCTCCGTCGATGAAGGCACTATGCGGATGAACAAAACTATGCTGTATGACGTTCTGTTGGTGCTAACATGTGCGTGTCGGAGGCTGTGTACATGCATTCGTCAGTCATCGAATTGAACCGAAGCTGCGAGTGTCTGTGTGACAGCGACAACTTTCGAACGATTCGATCAGCACGACCGGTTTGTACACTACACATGGTTTGCAATCGAGGTCATGGATAAGCAACCATGACCAACCACAATGCCACTATGCAATCACATTGTATGCAACTGCGTAGTGATTAGGTAGAAATCGTGTGCGCTCTATGTGTATAGATTGACGTGAAACGCCTCAAGCAGGTCACTGTAAGGTGGTTGCAAACAGGATTCCAGATATGTGAAGTACATAGAGACATTATTCAAGTATAACGCTTCATTTACGGTAGGGAGCAATTTTGCACATGGTTTCTGAAACTACCACAAAATGATGAGTTTGCACTTGTTTTGGATTTATCTCTTATGGCTGTGGATTCCGAAGTCCGTCGCAACCGTCGTACATGGAGTGCATGCGGTACGTTCACCCGCTTTTTTCGTTTTGTCTAGTTCATGCTGATGTCACGTTTTCTGCAGAGAAAGGTCCTATGATTAATGTGAATGTACGCGTTTTTTTACCGTTAGGCGTTAGCTGGGAATTGCTGGGGAAGCCGACTCACTTGCTTGCCTAGCTGTCGGCTAAGGAACAATGATGTAGTATTGTCTAAGTCGAAACACACGTTCACTTGCGCACCCTTATTCCTTTTTCGTCATGAATTAAACCTTGCTATCTTCGCTGAACACTTCGACTTTCTGTCGCGGTAATCTAGTGCCAGTATTTCAAAAAGTGAGCCAGGGGATGGAAATTAAAGTTTCCTCTTTTTGATGTGTGGTCGAAACAAGGCATTTTGTTGACGCATATAGACATCGGGAAACATAATTATCTCACTGATGGTTCAAACTGTCTACTTTCGTTGAAAGGTTGTTGAGCACTGTTAATTTCTTCCCACTTTCAAACCAACAGCAGTCATAGTAAAATGCTTCTGTTGTCTCCAGGTAACAGAAAAACGGGAGAAGAAGAAGTCCACCCTCTTTTAAGACCCCCTACATCGCTTTGAATGTAGGCCTGACTTGCACATGCGGTTACTATATTGTGCTGATTGACAGAGGTCGTATTCGATCATTCAAGCTGACTGAGTGCGCATGCACAGCATAACTCCAAAAAAGAATTAGTGCATAGTAAACCTTTCAGGGTATCTTTTGAGCTGTCTGACTTGCTTTGTCTTTGAAGACAAGATTTACGTAGATATATTTCCACGTCTTTGCAATAAATACATGGAAAAGTTTTTGTTATATGTGAGTAAGTCTAGGGCTTACGTCCTGCGTCTAGTGATAAATGAATTTATCGGGAGCTTAGTATCCTTTTCGACCACATGAGCCCAATGTCCAGTTAAATGCGGGACTGTTTACTGTGCTATCGATTGTATAGCCGGAGTCCTCACACTTGGAGCGGTGGCTTTAAACTAGGTTAAGCATTGTAAGCTTAAATCGATGCTGGCGTACAATGTAGCATTTATTTACAGACAGAATTGGGACTCGACACCGTCACCAGACTGATAAGACAAATCTAGGCAAAAGAACAAGCAGGTATCTTGTGAATTCTAAACCTTATACAAGTATAACAAATTTAGAATGCCTTCATCTCCTCCTCTTAAGCGAACAGTAGTACTGTGTTTCGCTATACACAGACAACGGTTCCTTGCAAATTAGTTGCTACGCTGACGTGATTGTTTTTCTTTTCCGAAACCACACATAGGAAGCCATTTTGCACAGCAGTTACTCAAACTTAGCTTGAGAGCAGAAACCCGCATGCCATGTGCAGTGAGCTTGCGATGTCTATTTGCTGTCATTGTGCTATTTTCACTGGTTGATACATGGTTTGAATGAAAGAAGCAACATATTGATCCACAAATATACAATATTTACGCGTTTACATATACAGAATAAATCAGCAAAAGCTGCACTAGTGACGTCAGTAGACAAGGTTGCTTTGTGACGTATTTTGCTCCAAATTGCCTACTTCACTTTTAGTCAAAGCCAGTTAGAGGCGGAGCATTGGCTAACAGATTTAGATGTCGCATAAATAATTATTCAGCCTATCAAGAAGGTACGTTTATCACTAGATAATGTTGCCTGTCGATTGTTTTTTTTCCGACTAAATTCTAACGATCGATGATGTTGCTTTCAGCAAGTAAGCGTAGTAAGTTTAGCAATTCGGTGAAGGTGCGTCGAATTTATGGCGTAGACAGGATAATATATGCTGCTTAATCATTAACACGCATCGCTAGAAGCCTTTCTGTAACCTGAAAAGGAATCTACCTTCTGAAGATCGCAGCATTAAGGCCATCCTTTGCTTGTGGAAGAAAACACGCAGTCATCCTAAACTTAAAACCCTGTCATATTCTACTTCAGCTTATAGACAGTATATAAAAGTAAGCAAATTTCACTATTCACCAAGCTTTAAGTATAGATCAAGAGATAATTGTGCATTAACTCAGTAATTTAAGTGTGTTCGACGACAATGCTGGCAACCTGAAGCTAGGTATTTGTGGCGTCATCGTAACTACCGTTTATTCCTGCTGATTTTCTTCGGGCGTTTCGCGCTATCCTGGACCATTAAGGTGAGCTGCCTATAAGTGACATCTGACGTTTCCATGAAACTCCTCCACTCAGTTATACTCTTTTGCATACCATAAATATAGTCGCAAGATCATCACCTTAAGAACAACTAGTATATTTCAACAAAGTGCCCAAGATGCTGTAACAACGAAGTTTAAATGCCGAACAAAAATCCGCAACTTTCTTTACAGCTGCCCATATAATTAACTGAATAAATCTAATTGTCCCACTGTCCTACTGCTTGGTAGGCGTCAGAAAGTGAATGTGGTGGAAAGGGTGGGGAGACCATGGTTCACTGAGGCCTGTGGTAGCTAGTTCCTAACAGGTCGTTGACCATGTGCTTCCTATGCTATGATGTGGACTCGTCCTGGACATTTCCTTGCGGTGACCGCTGGTTGGGAGTTGGGTTACACTCTTCTTCTAGCTAAGAGTCAAGCTACACAATTCCGCCTGAGTAGGTTCACTGACTGATGGCTCTCGGTTAGCTGCCTTTCGGGATTTGGCAGAAATACCGAGTCGTTCCCCTGGCAATATTCCAGTCCAAACTCCAATCATGAACCAAGCCAAGAATAATAATTACACGCTGCACCATCCGTCACGCAGTGGTGGGAGGGGCGACAAGTGTCGTCTTGTCTGGTGCATACAGTGGTAGCAAAAGCATACTACCGTTGACGTCTCCCCGCATTATTCTTTTACTGCACATACTCCCTCCTTCCCATTTCATCTAACCCACTAGTTCGTCCAATCCAGGTGACTGCGCGTGCGATTGTTTGCCACCGCAATCATATGCTACTTTCCAAGCGCCCAAAAGCTAGTGTCGGAACATGCGCACACCGCTCGATTGGAACCCAAGTGAGGGACCTGTGCGATGCACGGTACTGGTCGCAATGGAACTCGCGCGCAATATTCATTGAGCCAAGACTCGCCGACCAAGGCAAGCTGCAAGTAGCTGATGCTGATTCTAGGCTCTACTGGGTGGGAAACGACGCTGCAGCAGCACCTGAACATGGGGTCGGATCTGCACTATCCAACAGGCTAAATGGTTCACTGGTGGCAGAGCAGACTTGCATCAGCCCACACTTGATGACACTTCGACTGTGAATTGGAAGAGGACAATTTGCTACTTTTGTTAGCTCTTTTATTTCCAGCATATGCTAACCTGTAGACACGAGAAATCAGTTCTACACTCAAGTATCAGTCGTCATACGATCTGTGCCGAGGAGCTACCGGCTATTCCTACCGAGTGATTTTGACTCGCACGCTGGGCGTGGTGTCGCGGCGTGGACAGACGTAATCGGTTTATTAAGGTATTGGCACAGCCAATGGGAATGGAGACCGGCTGCTCCAACTGCGCGCCAATCAAAGCCTGACTATCACGAAAGGGAACTTCGAAATAGGTGGGAGTGATATGGCGAGTTGGAGGCACCCACGGACCGTTTGCGCTCATCTTCTCGATCACATCATCGTACGCCAGCGTGACATGCCTGAAGTGTGCAAGACACCTGTTCTGCATGGAGCTGAGTGCGGCACACATCACAAGTTGGTGCGGACCAAATTGTACGTGTATTTAGTAAATCTATGTATTGCCAACCTGCCCTGAACCCGCGCAAAATTAATGGGTTTCCCCTATGCACGATTGAGAAGATTATGGGTCAGGAAATGCGATGGCTACCAGCCTTGGCAAAGTGGAACCCATAACCTCTGCGACCGACCTGTGGCACCAAATCCGTGATCAGGTGATGACTGGAGCCGAGGTAACGGTCGGGTGCGCAAAATGTAAACAGCCCGGTTGGTTTGATGATCAAATGTAAACGTTGGTGTATTGGTCTCGGAGAAGACGGTACTATTCGCTGCACATGTGGATGGCAATGCTGACTGCGGGAAGGAGAGTTACTTTCGCGAACTTCGAGGGCGATTGACTCGAGAGCACCGTCGCCTTAAAAGCTTATGGTAGACGAAGAAGACGAAGCACACTGAATGCTACGCCGAACGCCGCCAACATAATGAATTCTTTGACTCCTTGAAGGCGATGTGTGGAACCACCTTGCGACCCCTGAGGAAGCAGCTCGATACTACTTCATGTGCTACCTGCACACAGACTACAGACATAATGCAAATCTTGCGAAATACTTTAACTATCTCTTGAGCAGCTGTTCAGAGATTGACCGGCCTACGTTGCACCGGCTGCAACAGTAAGAGAGGATACTGTGTCTTTCCGACACACCGACATTAGATGAGAGGCGGAGAGCAGTTGCTCAGTTGCGAAACCCAAAATGTGCCGGTGCCGACGGGATCCCGCCTGAGGTGCTGAAACACGGCGGACCCCCGTTAGTAAATGTGCTGCACCAGTTTGTGCAGTGTGTGTGGTTTGAAGAAGAAGTGTCGGCCGAGCGCTTCTGCTGCCGTCTCCTAGTCGGACTGCTTGTTTAAAATGTGTTTAGTTCTGAGTTACCAGCGGGGTAATGGCTGATTATGACGCGTGGCACTGAAAACCACAAGGAAGCTGTCTCCTCAGTGCCACCTTATCTTTGCACGATAGTCAGCTGTTTGTGACGGTATGTCAACACAAGTTGTTGGTGCCTTGACCCTAAATGTTTGCATAGTGCATTAAGGTTTTCCGGTATGTCCCCCTTCTTTCCCTCCTATTATCCTTTGTTCCGTAGGTCGTTATGGTTGTAAGGCAGTAAAGCAACAGTACAAATAGTTTAGGTACTACTGTTGATGATGATGATACCCGCCGAGCTAAAGGATAAGCTTACGCTACCACTGTATAAGGGCAACGGGAGTAAACAATGTTTCACAAATTATCGTAGCATCAACTTGCTGTTGTGTAGGTGTAGTAGTCGCACGAATCCAGCT